TCTGCTTCAACAACTCCATCCTAAGTCAGTTCTGACGTAAGTCAAATACCTTTTTTGTTTTTTAGTTTTCATTATTGCGTGTTATACAGCAGTGTTTTGAACATTAAATCATAACATTTAACATCTGTGAGTGAACATCTGAGAATGATAATGTCAGCAAATTACACCATACAGTGTTGTATGCTGTACTCATTACTAACAATAAGATGTACAAAAAAAACTGCGGTTCATTGTAACTCGAATACGTGGTATGTTCACCAGTGCCTGACACAGGGTAAGCCCTCAATAAGTGTTAACCCCCAACCCATTGCTGTGCAGTTGCTAGTGACCCTATGGGACAGAGTAGAACTTCCCTGTAGGGTTTCCAAGGAGCGCCTGGTGCAGTGGTTAAGAGCTATGGCTGTTAACCAAAAAGGTGGCAGTTTGAATCCTCCAGGTGCTCCTTGGAAACCCTAGAGGGAAGTTCTACTCTGTCCCGTAGGGTCGCTATGATTTGGAATCTACTCGACGGCAACGGGAGTCAATAAGTGTTAGCAGCTATTATTTATATGATCCTCAACCTGGCAAAGTAAGGCGAGCCTGCTACGATCATATAGTTAGAAGGGAGCCAGAATTCCAATGAGGGGCTTCCTGACCCCACCACTCATGTTTTCCGTGATAGAAAAGTATGTTGGACTGTAGCTGTGAAAACAGAAGGAGGGGAAGGTGGGGGGAAGGTAAACAGTGAAAATGGGAAGTTAAGGGAAGGGGAAGGAAAATGAATGGAGAGTTATCAGTGGCAGCAAAAGAAAAGAAAATTGAAAGAGAAGAGGCGGTGAGAATGGGAGGGAGGAAAGCTGGAAGATAGTGAGGAAGAGAGAAGCAAGAGAAGGAGACAGAGAAATAAAGACACTCTAGGTGAACCTTTGGAACCCTGGTGGTGCAGTGGTTAAGCATCTGGCTGCTAACCAGAAGGTTAGCAGTTTGAATCCACTAGCTGCTCTTTGGAAACCCTATGGGGCAGTTCTACTCCGTCCTATGGGGTAACTGTGACTTGGAATTGACAGCAATGGGTGGGTGGTGGTGATGGGTGAACCTTTGGAGTCCCTGGGTGATGCAAACAGTTAATGTGCTTGGCTGCTAACTGAAGGTTTGGTGGTTAGAGTTTACCCAGAGGAGTGACCTACTTCTGAAAAATCATTCATTGAAAACCCTATGGAGCACGGTTCTACACTGACACACACGGAGTCGCCATGAGTTGGAATTGACTCGAGGCAGGTTAGGTGAATTTTCAAGCTCTTCCTCCTTCCCAGGCCAGGTCCCTTCCCTTGGCTGGCTAAATTCCTGGTCTCGCCTGTGGTTAGGCTTCATCTACTGCTGGGACCTTCCCCTCTTCTGACTTCTGCCTACCTGGTTACTCTCAAAGCCTGTTATGGATTGAATTATGTCCCCCCAAAATATGTGCTGTAAATCCTAACCTCTATGCCTGTGGTTATAATCCCATTGGGAATGGGTTGTCTTTGTTATGTTCATGAGATAGGATTAGTGTAGGGTGTGTTTTGAGTCAGTGTCTTTTGAGACGTAAGATATTAAACAAGCGAGCAGAGGAGAGATGGGAGAAGACAGACACCATACCACATGAAAATCGCCAAGGAATAAGGACCTTCCCGCAGAGCCAACAGAGAGAAAGCCTTCCCCAGAGCCGACGCCCTGAATTCGGACTTCTAGCCTCCTACACTGTGAGAGAATAAATTTCTGTTTGTTAAAGCCATCCGCTCGTGGTATTTCTGTTATAGCGGCACCAGTTGACTAAGACACTGCCCCTAGGGTAAAGTCCAAAGTCTTGCGCACGGCCTTGGAGATGAGAGAGAACAACTCCCACCGTCTCTCCTGACACACCTTCAGCTGTTCCCGCACTCTACCCTTACACTCTATTTTTCACTCTAAGGAAATTGGCTTTTTTTTTTCCCACCGCCAAATTACAACCACTTTATTCATAAATGCCTTAACTATTTCTTTTATTCTGACACTCAACAGAGTACATTGGTACTATATTTTAATGGTAAACTGAATAACTATTAATTTTTACATGATCAGTATTTAATTTTTGGGTAAAAATGTCATTTTAATTTATTAAATTCGTGTATCATTTTACATTAAAATGATATGGTAGGTATTTCTTCTACCCAATGTTACATTTACTTATAAGAATACAATACGTGGTTTATATTAGTCTCCTTTGTCATTAAAATATCACATATATATGTAAGTCTACTTCCTTTTTGCTTCTCTCTTCTTCACAGAATTCTCATAATTACAAAGAATTATTTTGGTTTAGATAATAGCATTTCTTTTTACATTTGTGTAAACCCCCAAATTCTCTTGCTATGTTGCATATTTGAGGCATTATGATTTTACTTTTTCGTATTGCTTTCAATTCTTCACTCCTTACTTTGCCTGCCTGTCATTTCCTCCAGTTTCTTCAATTTTTAAAACATTTATAAACTAGAGATTGGTTATTATAACATGGCACAATCAAAACAGCGTACAGCTCAGACTTGCCTGATACACAGTCGTAGACGCCCTTGCCGTCTCAGACATAAGATTTATAAATGTACAGGCTGTGACAATCTCAGGTGGGTAAGCCATAACTGACAACAGAGACATCTGGAAATGATCTTTGAGAAGTTACACAATCTGGTGACTTATTTATTTTTAATCCTTGTTGATCTGCAGTATAGATCTCATTGCTCTGGCAAAGAATTTTCAAATGATACTTCTAGTTGCTCTTCACTGTATTAGCAAACCAAGCAACCTAAAGATAAACAAATCCTCACCACACTCAGGAAAAGGCACCATTTCTGAAGAGACATCAATGTATGTTTTGAACTCATGCCATATGAAATTTCCCATCAAAGAGAGTGCGTAGGAACTCAATAATTGGATGGTCTGTTACTGAAAAATGATCCCAATCAGTGAGGTATAGACTCCTCTTTCGGAAAGCTGATGTGGTTGGGCTTCTGTAGCTCAAACAGGATAACTCCAGATGGATGAAATAAGCTTCAGAGAAGAGGATTCCAAAAGTTTCCATTAATTCGCAGATATTATTGAGTGTCTGATATTTGGGATGCACTCTGAGTAAAGAAATAAACTTTTTAACTAAACTATATTCTCTAATGCCTTTAGTCTTACAGCTTCTGGTCCTGGAACACCAGTCATTCAGTCATTAGCAAATGTGTGGGCTCGTGTGTGTCATCTCTACGTCTGTTAAGATTTGAAAGCACCCTTAAGGAACAGTAGTTTAGTGGGGGAGACAGACAAGTAAACTACTAAAAATAGTCGAACGTAATGAGTACCATAAAATATGCAGGAATATAACTAAAAAACCCGTTGCCGTCGAGTCGATTCCGACTCATAGCGACCCTATAGGACACAGAAGAACTGCCCCGTAGAGTTTCCAAGGAGCCGCGGGTGGATTTAAACTGCCAACCTTTTGATTAGCAGCCGAGCTCTTGACCACTGTGCCACCAGGGCTCCATGAAACAAAACTATCTATATGGGATCAAATTGACAATAGCAACTCAAAAGACTAAATAGGAACCTTAGAGGGCAGTGAGTTTATGTTCATGGCGGAGGAACAACTCAGAAAAGGATAGTAAGAGTGGTTGTACCACTCGAAGAATGTAATCGCTGTCACTGAATTGCACATGTAGAAACTTCTGAAATGGTGTCTATTTTCAACAACAACAAAATAAGTGAAATCAATAAAAACAAAACAAATAAGTTGCCATGGAGTTAATTCCGACTCATGATGACCCAGAGTAGAACTTTGCTCCATAGAGTGTCCAAAGCTGTGACCTTTTGGAAGTAGATCACCAGGCCTTTCTTCCAAGGCACCTCTGGGTAGATTAGAACTGTCAACCTTTCAGTTAGCAGTCGAGTGCTGTGTTTCTTAATTTGGGCTGTTTTGTGATAAGAATTGAGGTGTCTTACAACTTAAAAATTTAAGATTCTATAATTCTAAATAATAGCATTTCCCCCAGCCTAATTTTTAGTCTAAATGGCAGGAATTGTTAGCTTAGATACTTAAGAACTCCCTGGGCATCATAGCCTGTTTGGCATGATTTACTTTTTTTCTTAAATGTAGTTTGCTTGAGATTCAAAGTCGTTTGTCTAAGAGAGTGAAATGTTCACATTTTGAAACTCTAAAAATAAAACACTGGGTAGATGATGCCAAAACAGTGCCTGCAATCAGAAATGCATTCTGAATACAGCATCTGAATGAGAACCAATTACTCAATCAGATCACAGTTACTAGGCGTTCCTTGTTTTAAGGCAATTAACAACAGTGCTGTGAAACCTTGGTAATGAAATATTTAAAAGACCCTGCGGTTTTGTTCAGATTTCTCATCGGTTGTGATGATCAAATGTTCTTTAGATGCAAGATGTAATATGAATGATTATATCTTATAATAAAGCTTTAAGGCTCTACTGAAAATATCATTCTCGTTCTCTTCGTGGATAGATAGCTTTCCCCAAATTGGATCATGCTGATCATGCGTTGTTTTATTTAAGATTAATTTAGAAACGAGTGTTCTTAATTTGCTGTGGAATTTACCAAATTTGTTGTGATCAGATTTGCTCAAGGGAGTTTGCTGCAGATTTTTAAGAGAAGTTCAAGATTGAATGGGCCTGCTGGAGAAGCTATCTTGTTGGTCTTCGAGCTTGAGATGTAGGCATAGAAGTGAGGAAACTCCGCTTAATTGTCCTTATTGATCTGTCTAGTAAGACTCAGCAATATTAACTTCAGAAGCATTTTGATTTTGCTCTATTCTTTTCCCCTTATTTGGAAACATTTGCTGTGTATTTAATATATAAGACATAAGGCATTTAACAATGTAATTGATCCGTGCGTCAACATAACTTGCCGTTTGCTTAATAACTTAATAATGAGCCTTCGAGGTCATTTAAGTTCTGGATAGAAACTGTTAAATAATTTAATGCTTTTTTTTTCTTCAACAGATGTGAATTATTAAAAAGAAAATGGCCCAACGGAGCACCGTATTTCCTTCTCTTGTCACCGAGGAAAGGTATAATATATGGAAAATATGCATCTAAGGTATACTTTTACTTTCCACCAATCCCATGCGGGCTGCTAGTGGGTGTGATGGTTATTATAAATGAAGCCTTGTGGCTGTTACATTATTCAAGAGTGGTTTTGTTCAAGGGCAAGAGAAGCTTCTAATTTGTAGGATGCTGTGGTCCCCTCAGTGAGCCCGGGAGGGGAGATTTCACAGTAGCCCTGTACTTCCCGTTAACAGTGAGATATAATTGTAGGCCAGGAGGCTAATAATCCCTGTTAACCCTTTTAAATCAGAAGTTGCAAATTGGGAGTCCGTAGACCAAAACTGACTCACAGAAGTACACTGCTTGGCCTGCATGATCTTAAATACTTTTAAAATACGTTGTCACCATTTAAAAATCAGGTGATTTCACATACAAGTTTGGATTTCCTGGCTCTTCTTGAAATATCAGAAGATCTGGAAAAATTGACCTGTATTTCCAGATGGTCACTCATGGGTGGAGCTATAACGTGTGGTTCCCTTTAGCTGGGGAGCATCCTTTCCAGTTCTCCAAAGTCCCCACCTCTCCCTATTGCACCATATGCCATGCACTTCACTCGTTGATGTCACCTGCCTGAACTTTGTAGGCATTTGAGTTTGTAACTACTGCATTAGAGGGAGGGAGGAGAAGGAGGGCATGTCAGGAGACCTTGCTAATAAGCTTGATCTCGAAAACACAGCCTCTACTGGGAAGACATCTCGGTGTGCTGAATTCTGACAGCCCCCTGTTCCTGGAGGTCTTGGAGCCTGGGACCAGCACACTGAAGCCTCTGGGCATGATCGTTTACAGATATTGCCTGGCTCATGAAGAAAACTCTTTTGGGTAGAAACCCATCTAGCTTGGAGGGGTAGATAATTTGTATTATCTTCTCCGGGAAGACTTGAATCTGGCTTTAATTTTCTTTCCCCCAATGAGCCACCCTCATGATGTGGCTCCCTTCCGTAGGCGAGTTAGAACCATGCCCCGTCACAGCCAGTCTCTGACCATGGCACCGTACTCATCTGTGAGTCTAGTGGAGCAGCTGGAAGACAGAATCCTCTGCCACGAGAAAACCACCGCTGCCCTTGTGGAACACGCCTTCCGGATTAAAGACGACATCGTCAGCAGTTTGCAGAAGATGCAGAACAAAGGGGGAGGTGACCGCCTGGCCAGGCTGTTTTTGGAGGAGCACATTAGGAACATAACTGCTATAGTGAAGCAGCTTAATCGGGATATCGAGGTAAGGTGTGTGATCAGGTGCACTGCGTTCCTTCCCAGAGGTCACCGCGTCTCATGCCCACCTCTCCGGCAGTTGTGGATTTAGACCAGAGCCGTCTGTCTTTTCTATTCTTAATGATCGCCAAGGAAACGGCTTGCACAAACATCCTACTTGATTCCAGTATTTGATGGCAGTCACTGACGGTGTTATTTGTGTTTAATCTAAATTTACCTTCCCGATTATTAAATCCACTTTGTTTTGTTTGCCTCTCAATGGAGAGAAAAGAACAAGCCAAATAGCTTCCCTGTGAAACCCTTCATATCTTTGAAGACAGCTATTAAATCAATTACTAGGTCAGCCTTTGCTGCTTCAGATGAAATATTTCTAGGTCATAAGGATTATTTATAACACGGTTTGTTATTCAAACGATCTAGGTATTTGAATTGCTTCTCAGACTCCCCTTTCATTGCTCTGTTTTTTTCTGAAATCGTCCCAGTAAAAGCCCGGTATTGTGTATTTTTGAGAATTGACTAAATTCTGCATTCACTGCTGTTTACTGAGCAATCACAGGCCCGTACGGTTTAGTTCAGAAAGTGTAAGTTCATTTAGGGCCGGGGCTCCATCACTGTACAGTGCTAATACCCTTCACATGTAATTTTTAAATATATGAATAGAAAGATACATGGCTAGATTAAGAAAAATCTTTAAGTCATGGGGATTATATTTTAATTATGCTTTCTGAAATTAAACCTCATTTCTTTTTTTCGTTATTGAATTTATATTTGTTTTTTAACTGCCTTATTGTGGTATAATTTAAATGCCACAAAATTCACCCCTAGTAAGTGCACAGTTCTATGATTTTTGGTAATTTATAGACTTGTGTGATCATCAACATGATTCAATGTTCGCACATTTTTATCACACCCCCACCCCCAAATTTACATGAGCCAGTTTGTGGTCAATCCCTACTTCCACCCTAGTCCCAGAGAACCACGAGTCTGCTCTCTGTCTCTATAAACTGATCTTTTTTGGGCATTCCATATAAATGGAGTTATACAACACGAAGTCTTTTACATCTGGCTTCTTCCACTTAGCGTGATCTTTTTGAGGTTCAGCATTTTCTAGCATGTATCTTTGTGTGGACATACGTCTTCATTTCTCTTGGGTAAACTCCTAGAGGTGGAATTGCTGGGTGTTACCGTAAGCTTATGTTTAACTTTTTATGACACTGCCAGAACAGTCTTCCAAAATGGCTACCATTTTATGATCTTACTGGCAGTGCATGAAAGTTCTAGTTTCCCCACATCCTCACTGACTCTTGGTATTCTCTGTCTCTTTGATAGCCATTTCAGGGGATGTGGAGTGGTATCTCATTGTGGTTTTAGTTCACATTTCCCTAATGACTAATGATGTTGAGGACCTTTTCATTGGCTTCTTAGCCATTTGTATGTCTTCTTTGGTGAAATGTCCATTCTTTGCCCAACTCTGATTGGGGAGGACAGCTTTCCCTCTGAAGCCTGCCAGGTAAAGCCTTTATAATTGCCTATAGTCAGGCCTGAAAAATCACACGTAGGTTTTTAGTCAGGAGCTGGTCTCCTCAATATCTTGCTAACTTTTATCATTGTAAAATATCCTCGTTGTCTCTGTAATATTTCTTGTCTTAAAGTCTATTTTGTCTAATATCAATAGAGCTGCTCCAGCTCTCCTATTGCTACTATTTGCAAGTTCATTTCCATTTTTGATAATTCTCACTTGGCTTGTGCCTTGTGGTCCTGGTCTAAACCAAAACCAAACCCGTTGCTGTGGAGTCAATTTCGACTCACAGTGACCCTATAGTACAGAGTAGAACTACCCCATAGGGTTTCCAGAGAGTGGCTGGTGGATTCAAACTGCTGACCTTTTGGTTAGCAGCTGAGCTCTACCACATGGTTACTGACATTCTCACATTGCTTTGCTTGTGTTTTTTTCTCTGTCTGGAGCCCCAGCTGCCCTGTTGATTGTGTGCACCTCTCCTCTATATCCTTCCAAGAAATTCTGTTTTTTTTCTCCTAACTTAGCTAGAGTCATATTTAATTGCCTGCACGCAAAGAACTCTAGTGACTTATCCTGAAACATCAGTCATAACAAGCAATAATGTACGAGACGATACGTAGGTAGATATGTAAGCTGAACAGGGGTGGGAGGGCATATGGAAGTACACTCATGTACACCCCACAAATATACCCGTGTATGCAGTGGTGCACACAGGGGACACAGTCAGGAAGACTTCTTAGCCGTAACCATACACCTCCTGGGACTGCGATCGGCATATCATAATCCATACAGACAGTGCTCTGCATCCTCCCTTGGTGAGTAGCAGTTTGGGTTTTAAAAGTTTGAGAGTGGCCATCTAAGGTACAACAATTGGTCTCTTCCTGTCCGGAGCAAAGAAGAGTGAAGAAAACCAAAGATTCAAGGAAACAATTCAAGGACTAACGGACCACATGAATCACGGCCTCCACTAGCCTGAGATTAGAAGAACTCGATGATGCCCAGCTACCACTACTGACTGCTCTGATCAGGACCACAATAGCGGGACAGAGTGGGAGAGAAATGTAGAACAAAATTCAAACTCATAAATAACACCAGACGTACTGGTCTTATGGAGACTGGTGGAACCTCCGAGGCTATGACCCTTCAAGCTTGGAACTGAGATCCCTCCCGGAGATCTCAGCATAGCCATATAATAGACAGGCCTATAACATGACCAGTAACACTAGTGAGGAATGTACACCTCGGAACAATCAACTGTACGAGACCTAAAGGCAGCATTTGCCCAAAAGCAAAGTTCAGAAGGATGGTAGGGGCAGGAAAGCTGGGTGAATGGACACAGGGAACCCAGGGAGGAAGTGGGGAGAGTGCTGCCACATTGAGGGGATTGCAACCAATGTCACAAAACAATCTGTGTATAAATTGTTGAAAGGGAAACTCATTTGCTCTGTAAACTTTAACCTACACAATAATAAAATGTTAAAAAAAAAAAAAAAACCTGTAATGAGATCAGAGGGCAATAGAAAGATTAAGACATTGCCGTAGATAATTTGCTTGTGTGTGGAAGGAGGTTTCTATATTTAGAATGATCTTTCCAGTTTTATATTTGGGTGCTGGAACACTTTTATCTCAGAGACTGAATAACTTGGCAACCCCAAGTTGGCAACTTTGCAAAATTAAAGAACCCCCACTTAAATATTTCAATTTTTTTCCATTTCTAATAGACTTTATTTTAGTTTTACAGGAAAAACTGTACAGAACGTACAGAGAGTTCCATACACGCTGCTTCTCCCTGCACACTGTTTCTCCTACTAAAGATTTTAATTGTGAAAATGATTGGAGACATATTAGGGGGCTGATAGAGGTACTTGGCTGCTGCACCCACATATAGAGAGGGAGATAGATAAAATCAAAGAGATATGGCATAGGTCATGATCCTTAGGTTCCCATCCCCTCAACCAATGGCAGAGAACTGTGTCATAACCATTCCTTCCGCGCCCTGTGTTTCCCTGGGGCTCCTTAGCTGGGTTCCCTTTGCTCACGTGGATGGATAGACCAGAGACAGGAAGCCGTCTATTCTGACATTACTCTCTCCCTCAGGTAAAAGCAGAGTGTACCTCTGCCTCTAGAAAAGCATGGACTTAATTTCTCCTGTCAGTGTACGAGGTGATAGTACTTTACCCACAACCGTGGGATCCAGTGGAAAATTTCCCCTTTGGTAGCTGCTGTGTGCTAGTCCCTGGGTGGTGCAAATAGTTAACACACTGGGCTGCTAACTGAAACGTTGGAGGTTCAAGTCTACCCAGAGGTGCCTCAGAAGAAAGGCCTGGTTGATCTACTTCTGAAAAATCAGCCATTGAAAACTATGGAGCACAGTTCTGCTCTGACACGCGGAGGGTCGCCGTGATTTGGAATTGACTTGACAGCCACTGCTGGTTTATGTACTAATCTAACAATCAGAACCATTTTAAATAGGCAATTTTCAACCTCAGCCAAGCCCTCAGTGCTGTTTAATAGTTTCTTCATTCTAGAAAGCCATCTCTGCCTGTTCCTCCCTTTCCCCAATTTCCTTTCTCTACTGTCACCTTGAGGACTAAGGTGCGTCTGACCCAAGCCATGGTATTTTCAATCACCTCATATGCAAGTGAAAGCTGGACAATGAACAAGGAAGTCCGAAGAATCGATGCCTTTGAATTATGGTGTTGGCTAAGAATATTGAATATACCATGGACTACCAGAAGAACAAACAAATCTGTCTTGGAAGAAGTACAGCCAGAATGCTCCTTAGAAGCGAGGATGGCGAGACTATGTCTCACATACTTTGGACATGCTATCAGGAGGGACCAGTCCCTGGAGAAGGACATTATGCTTGGTAAAGTAGAGGGTCAACAAAAAAAGAGGAAGACCCTCCACGAGAAGGATTGACACAGTGACTGCAACAGTGGGCTCAAGCATTACGATTGTGAGGGTGGTGCAGGACTGGGCAGTGTTTCATTCTCTTGTATGTAGGGTCACTGTGAGTCCTAACTGACTTGACGGCACCCAATGACAACAACAACAACGTATCCCTAACACTCAGCACGTGCCTCTGCTAACATAGCGGTTACTCACTGGGATTGACTTCTCCCTTTACAGGTCTACTTCCCCCGACAGACTGAGTTCTTCATTAAGTGAGGAACTTTGTCTTACTCACCTCTGCGTTCTCCAGCACAAAGTGTGGAGCAAAATGCCAGGCATACTAGTGAGTAAACGCCTGGCTCCCAGGGAAGCCAGTTGCAGAGCTGTTGGGAACAAAAAAGGACAAGAAGAGACCTTAAAGGTCATCTGTTCAAACTGCGTCCTTTCCAGGGAGGCACCCAAGGCCGAGGGAGGTGAAAGGGGGACTTGCCTGAGGTCTTAAGGCCAGTAAGTGGTGGTGCTGAGACTAAACTTAGGCTGTTAAACTCCAAAACCCTGCTCCTTTCACTTTTCTACTTTGCCCCCTGGAAGCT